TACACTCCCATCTACAAATGTTAACAGGTTCGCGTCCCCATACCATCTGGCTGGGGGATACTCCACTTCTTCTTTTCAATTGGTTCTTTGCGGCATTAACCGCGGTGATGCACAGGTGTAGATCGGCCTCGGTGACGCTGAACTCGTCCGTCACCTTCGCGAAGATCTCTTTCCAAAGTCCGCCGTGACCTTCTGCAGTGCCAAGTTGCCAATGGGCCTGTCCAGCCGAGGGTCTGATCTTCGAGCCAAACCACTCGGCATATTTCGCCAGCCCTGCCTGGAGTCCTGTCTCGAGGTCAATAGCCGGGGTTCCTGGTGGCCCGAAGGTGTTGGACCACAGTTCGCAGAAAGTCTTCTCCATGATCTGGGCCGTGTGTCCCTTCAGCTCGACCACGAGATGAAAACCAGTCCCGTGGTCAACTGCAGAGAGCATCTCGTAGCGCACGCCACTCGAGTCCACCACTGAGAAAGCATCCACCCCGACCTTGATTGAACTCCAGGATGGTTGGCATCGCTGAGGGCTTGGCTGTCCCCCCCCTCTGGTTTCTGTCGCAAGTCATACATCGGAGTCCCTTTGCTGCATCAATCACGCCATGTGCGTCTGGATGTCCCAAATTCTGGTGAAGACGCCTCAATGCTGATGAGACTTCGGGCCGGACCTTGCTCCCCTTGCTGAAACTGATGGCCTTGGCGCCCGTAGTTGTCGGTTTCGGGTCGTCGTGGATCACGTCGGCTGGGAAAGCCTCATGCGCTCTGTCGTCATCTCGGTGGTAGTGTGTGTCGTCCCCCCTCCAAGATCGATCCTGAACTTGCCGTCGGCGAGGGTGAGTCGTCGGTGGTGCTCTTGTAGTAGATCACGTCCAGCTTGGCTTTTCAAAAAGTCCCCATTCTCGTCGCCCTCGATGATCACCTTCCCCCCGGCCTTCAGCTGTTTCGCCACCAGCCTGTCAATTCCTCCTTGAAAAGAATTGGCCAGCTCGTCGCCATCGCTTGGGGTTGAACTCCTGGAGTGCCTCGTGCGCCAGGTTGATTCCACCGTTGTCCTCCAGGTCCTCGGCAACAAGGGGCTCGATGAACTTGTAGTCGTTGTCGGCCACCTCATATGACATCCTTCTTCCACCGAGCTCAAAGAGTAGTACTTGTTCTCGGTCCCCAGGTGGAGGAAGAAGCTCTCGTCCGAAACTCATTGCCGCCAAGATTGACCAAGTGGCGAGACAGCTCACGCGCTTTGCATTCCTCCACAGTCCCCTTCTGATGCTCTTCTTCGGCATCTGGTGTTGTTCATGTAGTGGACGGTGCTTGCGGAGGTCGTTGACCGGAAAGTTAAACTGTACCAACTTTCGCCTCAGTCCTTGGCTGATGTAGGGCAAGCTCCTCCGGGTGTAGGCAGAGAGGCACCATCTGGTCCCTTCCCATGGCATTGTCCGGTGGGGCAGCTTTGCGTCGATGATCGTCAAATTGTGCTTGGTGTCGAGCTCGATGCCCCCGTTGGTGTCGTCATCTTCATTCCGCCTGGCCACCCATAGGCCGCCGCCACTGAAGTTGCCGAAGCTGAGGGTTGCTGACTGCGTCCCAACGAGGTTGTGGCTGTCAACATGGAGCTTGGTCTCTATGTTCCGCCCAAGGTAAAATGAGGTCCATTGGTGGTGTTCTCCTCCGTGCCGGTGGAGGAAATTGTTGCTTGGTCACGTCGGGGTACATGAAGGTGCCATTGGTGATGCCGTGGCGGTTTCCATACTGCCACAAACCTCCCATAAAGATCCGGCTGTTGCTGTCGAGGTCACCTTCCTCCTTGTGCCTCCTCTTTTGACGCAGATCGTCGTGGCCTCCTTGTCCCCGCCATACTTGGTAAACTTGTCGTAGAGGATCACGTCGTTGCCGCCGAGGTTCTTCAGGGCCGGTGTAGTCCATCCCGAGTATTCCCCAGGATGCTCCAGGATCGCTGTTTTTCTCCGCCTCGTCTGCTTCCTGTAGAGTCGGTGGACCAGACTGAAATGCATCTTGTGTTGTAGAGCCCGTCGCGACCACATCCCACAGCACATGCGGCGGGGCCATCCAAAGCACATCTGGGGGCTCCTGGTGGAAAAGAGCCCAGATTCTGTCGCGATCTGTCTTTCTTCCGAAGTCCCATTCGGGCCGCTCGAAGCATACGACCCGGTAACCCCTTTTCCTCCATGGCCTTCACCATCTCGCCGTTCCCGGTGTAGAGTTGCCAGAACACGGGTTGTCGATCTCGCTGGAAGTGGTCGTCGACACAGATGTGGTAGTCGTTTTCGTCCTCGCCGTACACCTCCTCCATCTCGAATCGGTTCTCGTCGTAGTAGTCACCCCTCCTCTCTGGATCGCCACCAGCGCATTCGGGAGGACGTAGAGGAGGATTCATGGAGTCGCCATCCATGTTATATTTCTCGTCGTGGTTCTTGGGGTCGCCACCCAAGTCATAGCGCCCTTCGGTGGAGATCACGGAGTCGTTCAAGTAGGTCTCGTAGGTGTTCAAGGTCTCTTGGCCGCCAATCCGTGCTCCCTTTTCAAGATCGCCAGTCTCGCTTCCAGGGCCTCGATCTCCTCCAACGCTTCCGCTCCGGCATCGGCCTCCATTAGTGTGGGGCTCTCCGTGTTCCACCTGGTGAGTTCTTCCGGCGGTCCTCGGTGTCCCATCTTGATCCCCCTGGACTCTGGCGTCTTGGCCTTGGGCTTCGGAACCACTGAGTTCTTCTCGCTCCTTTTTGTGGTAGCAAAGGTGTTATAGACGCCAATCCCGGGTCCGAGATCCGTTGTACCATCGACCACACTGTCGAGCTCTCGTCGTCCGGCAGCGGGATCATGGGGTTCGCTTCCGGGTCCGCATTGGTGCAGCCGTTCGTAGTCGTAGTCCTCTGCGTCCTCTTGCTGGCACACCAGTCAGTGGGCAAAGCGGCGGAGGTCCTCCGATGCATTGTTGTTCACCGCCACCTCTCGCTCCGCCCAGTCCCGGTAGCCCTGTGGTACGGCCTGGGACTCCCAGTGCTTGTATCGCCCGAAGGTCATGACGTCCTTGTCCGCCCCGGCTGTGGCGGTCCTCAGCATCCTCATGATCCAGCCCTTGGTCGGCTTGCCAGGCAGCTCGATGTTGTTCTCTTGCCTTGAGCTGCTCCAGTGTCATGGAACCCATCCCCTTGATCGCCTGGTCGGTGTTCCCCTTCTCGGCCGCCCGGTGCTCCGCGATGATCGACCTGATCTCGTCTCGATTCCAAGTCGAACTCACTGCAAGTCCGCATCGAGTGGCCTCGGAGAGCAGTTCCGTCTTGTTCATGTGCCATATATATATATATGTTGGACTTCGGGGGCACGGGCGGTTGCTCCATGTCCACCTGAGGTACGGGAGGTCGCTTTAGACCTGTGGCTCCTAGAAAACACAGTCCTGCCGATCCAAAGCACCGGAAAACATCCTTGGTCATCATGTTCGCGCCATGTGCCGTGGACTGGATTCAGCGCTCTGTGCATGCTGCATGAAATGCCATGAATGTGATGCACATAACCCAAGGCATTCAACAAGTCATTCTTGAGGCTCTGGTCTGAAGTTCCCCACGCCATAGGACTGAAAAACGACCTTCTTGGGACAACATGCACTCTGACAAGGTGTTCGGGGCCTTCTATCCAAAAGTCCTGTGATATACTCGTTGTTTTCCACCAGTTCAACAAAGAGCCTTCAAGGAAATCCCGGTCGAGGAGCATGTTCCTTGTGGCGGGGGAAAGTTTCTTAGGGTAGAAGATCCTGTAGTTGTTGATGTCCACTAGTCGTTGATTGTGCTCTAGGGCAGAGGACATAGCTTCATGGTGATGTGGATCCCCAGAAATCCCCAGACTCGTCACGTGAGCTTCCCAGACCCCCATGTATGCCGCACCACGCTTCGAGATCTTGATTTCTGGTCCATTGGCCTCCCAGTCTTGGGGAAGCCCTGCAAAAGCCTGGACAGGAACGAACAGTATGGCAGGATGCCCGGTCTCTGTGGCGCTCAGGGCAAAAAAACACAGCTCCAAACTGGTGAAGTTCGCTCGGTTACGGGCCACGTCATAGATCATTCCCATGGCTCCGAGGGTAGGCTTACTCAAAAGGAGTGGCACATCTCCCTCCACGATTGCTGTCCTCACCTGCAGCACATAGTCGCCCATCTGGAAAGCGATCACCACGGAGCACTTCGAGTCGAAGATCTTGGAGGCTCCAAACTTGAAGCTTTCACGGCCTCCCAGGAACTGTGGCTTGTAACCGAGCTCGGCTGTGACATTCAAGTAGCGCTCCAGCCATGGGGCTCCGGCGACACTCCTCGAACAGGCGGCATCCGTGATGGCATTGGGTGGGGCCTCACCTAGGTCCCAGGTTACATGGACAACGTGGCACTGGTAGTTCTTGTGTCCGCCTGCTCCGGCTGGTCCTGTTCCACTGGTCGCCGCCGTAGTACTGGAAGTCGTAGTAGACGCCGGTGTCGTAGCCCTGCCATGGTTGCCTTGGTTGAGCGGGCATTCGGCATCACGATGCCAATGCCTCTTTCTTTTGCATCCCGCGCAAAAGCTTCTTGCTTTGGCCAGCTTCATCTTTTCCTCCGATATCTTCCGGAGTGCGCCTGGACTGGCGCCACGTAGTTTGTTGTGCTCTCTGTACTTGTTCTTTGCCGCCTCGTGAGTCATGTAGGTCTCGTATAACTCCGTCGCCATTTCCTCGGACATCGCCTCACCTTCATCGCCAAACGGGTCGCCCTCATTCTCGCTGAACTCGCCGTCCTCGGTGATATGCGCCATTTGGGGGCGTCCCTTCCACCATCTGGTACCCTTGCCATCCCCCTTTTGCGTCTCCCAGGGTTTCCGTAGGGCTCGGTCATGAACTATTGCTGCACGTTGGAGTTTTTGTAGGTCGTAAGTGTTGTTCACGGAGGCGAGGAGGTTGAGTTCGCTTGCTTTTTCGAGCTCCATCCTGTCGACGAAGACCCAGGCCGATGCCAGGTCTGGCAAGTGGCACCCGCACTCAACCAGGCGGGCATGTGCTCGGTCGAACTCCCCGATGTAGTCCCTGATGCTTTGCCCCGGCTTCTTACGTAGCTTCCTGAAGAACTCGCTTAATGAGCGACCAATCTGGGTGACCTGAAGTAGACTATCCCCTCTGAAGTGCCCAACTTGTCCACGCTGAGGCGCTCGGCTTCGACCCAGGCGCGCCCTGTGAGGTTCTGGTAGAGGACGAGGGCCTGTTGTTGCACTGGAAGACGTGTCATTTTCCTCCATGCAGCGATCTACCTCAGGTAGCTTTTGGCCGTGGCACCGAGTTCGTCGCCATCGTTCGGAGTGCCCCCAAAAGAAGGCACGACCATTTTCTCGGAGGGTCCCCGGGAAAACTCCATTCGGTCTTGCCCCTAGATCCCGACGTCGTCCCATACATCCCTGAAGTCAAGGGCGTCCTCGTAGTTCCTGCATCATCCGATCCCGTAGGGCCCGGTGGCTTCCGTGTGTACGTCGCCCCGGTGAACGTCGTTCTTGTCCCGAAACCATCTCCGCTCTGGTGACTTCCCAGGGATCCGTCGTCACGCTCGTTGCTATCCCGGTCCCAGGCATGGCCACCGTCGCCGCCCACAGTCGCGCTACTGTCACCTGCCTGGTGTCCACCTCCAAGGCCCTCTTGCTCGTGTCGGTGCTCCTGGCGCTGCCGTCCCCATGACTGGCCACACCAGTCGGGGCGCCTCCACCATGTAGGGTCGTGGCTGTTCCATCCGCTCCAGCCGTTGCCTGGTGCCACTGCCACCAGTCATCATCTTGTCGTCCTTGCTGCGCCGTCGCAGTAGAGGAAGGATCTGCTTGCGTCGTCCCTGCAGCTTCGCTCTCGGCAGGTGCATCGGCACTCGACATGTCGTTGGAAACCAGTAACTAGTTACGAGCCCCGGGCTGTCCCGAGGCTCCGCTACCAATTACAAACTAAAAGCAGGCTACCGCCACACACTTTTCCTACGCACGAACACTTGTGCCTGCGGTCGTCAGCTGATTCTGCACAGCGCTGCACTCTGCTTCGGCTGATCCTGCACAGCACTACTGGCTGCACATTCTTCAGCTGTTCCTGTACTGCAGCTGCCATAAAACACATCTTCACGATTTACATTTAGGGTTTAGGGTGTGCATTACATTCTAAAAAAAACCTTCCACCGCACCCATATCGAGGCACGTCTAAAACCGTCGCTCCATGCGGCCTCATCCAGTTTGTGTCCTTGTACCTGGCCACTTCGCACCAGGCATGAAAGAGCAACTCCGCTTGGGTCGACACGTCGTGTGGCAGCACACACCACAAAGTGGACTCCGTGGTCTTGTGATGGAAGCACTGGTAGCGTTCCATGCAGTGGCGGAGAGCCGAGCATGCCTGTCCAGCCGTGGAGCTCGCCATCAAGGTGGTCTTCCCCACTTTGATGACGTCGTGATGGCCGTCAGCACTGCGAAGATGCACTGCATGTACCAAGCCGAGCTGCTGTTGGGGGTGTGCTTTGCACATCCACTCATGGAGGCAGACGACGTGGTAGGTGAGGATGTCGTCCTTGGTCAAGACACCCCATCGCAGACTCTGCCAGAACGACGCATAGACTGCACAGACATCGGCGCATGAGAGCCGCGTATCTCCAGTGTTGACATACCACACGCTTCTCTTACGAACGTCCCATAATCTTCTGTCGCCCTGGTTGTAGATGGCGGATCGCACCTCATCATCCAGCCGCGCTTGTGCGTGCCGCGTCAGCGACCTCCTGTCAGAAGGGAGAGGACCCTTTAAAGAAAAAAACAGAGTTCAAGAGGAAGACTCGGGTCCTGTTCCAGTGCTTTGACGAACTGCTCCGTGCTCCAGGTCTTGAGCTTCGCCTTCAGTTCCTTTGCGATGTTGTCGGGAAGATCGCGGTGGACCCTCTGGCGGTTGCCGTACCGCCCATCCGCATGGGCCCAGAATGCCCTGTAGTGCTCTTCTGCCTCTGTCGGAAGAGCCTCAAAGGTGCATGTTGTCGGCTCGCCTGTGGTTGTCGGCTCGGGCACTGAGCTGATCGAGGAGGAGTCCTTAGACGGTGCCGCCCCGTCCTGACCAAGGTTCTCGTCCAGGCTGGCCAGCTTCTTGCGATACCACTGCCGCTGCCGCTCCAGCGAGTACCTTTCAGGGAGGTGGCGTCGCGACCTCGGGTGTGTCGGCGTCTTTCTTGCGCACCTTTCTGGGAGGTGTCTTCGCGCCGCCCAGGTCCTGAGAAACCTCGTGCTCGTCTATCATCTGCGTCGTGAGCTCGCCAGCATCCCTTCGCGCCGTCTCCAGTGCCTCGATCATCTGCTGCTGTGTCGTGGATCCTGGCAAATCCATCCAGCTGGGCCGGCTCCGGAGACGAGCAAGGTTCAAGGATCCGGCGTACGGGGCTGCTCATGGCAGCCTCCACTTCCCGCACTGCAACAAGCCGAGGAGTCTGCATGCCGTCTCTTTCCATGTTCATGCTAAACGAACTGACATGTAGGTCTCTGCCCCTTATCCAAAGTGAGAGCATGTAGACTCGCAAAAGCAAATGCGCTCTAAGTTCGAGACCATAGATCCAGTGCGTGACAAGGTATTCGTGCCGGACCGATCCACCTGACAGCACAAGCAGCTAGACCTTGTGCGCGCCGCAGAGCTGTCTTGGGCGGAGCCGCCATCGAGCGATTCCTCTCCAGCTTCTTCCCCATGCTCGGGCTTCGTGGGCTTCCGGAGTCGCCCTGATCTGCCTCGGCAGTCGAGTCTAAGAAAAATCTCTGCAAGAACTTCTTGTCTAAGAAAAAACGCAAGCATGCCCGGCATGCCCGCAATTGTGCTCTCTGACTCAGAGCTCCCCCTAGCTTTCCAAGGCGCCATGGACTTCTTCCTCTCCAGGCCCTGGAGCTTGGAGATTTTTGGCCCCCCCCCCCCACAAACAAAACGGCGATTTCGGGTGCCCCCTGCAGGTGTCTCTTTCAGCATGAGCCGAGCAGCAGAACTTTTCGATACCCGGGAGGAGATTGAGGCCTCAGTGAAAGGCGAAGACGCGCACAATCATTTGCTCTCTCTCTCTCTCTCTCTCTCTCTCTCTCTCTCTCTCAAACACACACCCACACCCACCTACCAGTAGCGGCCTATTTAGCGCTTCACAGCTGCGGTCAAGGCACAGAAGACTCCAGTTGCCCGTCCACCTCGCAGGAAGGAAGCCCAGCGGAAGCTGCGGAATGCGCTTCCGAAGAGTGCCAAGGAGCTATCGATTTCTTGCGTGGGCTTTTCGACGCCTTGCATCGCCGTCAGAGGCCGAAGGCACTTTCGACAGGTGCGATAAGTTTTCCAAGCAGCTGATGTCTCCAGTGCATCTGCCTTACAGCGATCAGAGTATAAGCCGAGGCCTGAATCCCTGCCTCGAGGTGCGACCAGAGCGGCCGGCTTCTTCCGGAAAGACATCTTACGCGAGGCCGAGCTCTGTGCCGCGCTGCGCTCCTCCGACCTGGAAGCACTTCTGTCGACGGGAGGCGCCGGCTTCCGCGACCCTTCCGCGTCTCCTCTTGAAACCTTGAAACCTTGCCCCACGCGGCTAGCGGCGACGCGAAGCGACGCGAAGCGACGCGAAGCGGCTCGGGCTCGGGCCCTTCCTCGTTCGCAGCCTCAGTGTCTGCGGCAGCGGCAGCGAGCGAAGCTCGAGGCTCGGCTCCAAAGCGAAAAACATTCTCGGCGAGATGCGAGCATCACCGACTTCTTCCGCGGAGCGGCTGCTTCCTCGGCGCTCGGCGCGGGGTCTCCGAGCGGGAGCGGGCGGGGGCGGGCGGGCGCGGGGGTCTCTGCGCTCTGACTCTGTGCTCCGCTCTGCGCTCTGCTCTGAGGCCGCCAAGGGGCGGAGTTCCGCCTCCCCTCCTCTTTCGGCTCCGCGCCACCGCCGCCACCACCGCTGCCGCCACGGTTCCGTTGGTCCGAGAGGAGCAGCGCCGAGCTCAGCGCCTCCTCCAACTCCACCGGCCCGCTCACCTCGCGAAAAAAAAACACGCGGAAGGCGGCCCGCGCGAACGGAGGCCTCTAGACCCCAAAGGCGCCAAAGACGCAACCAAAAAGAGGGGGGGGGCCTCCACGGCCATGCCTTCGTCCTCGTCGCCGCGGAGGACCTCCAAGGCGTAGAGCAGCAGCTCCCGAGACGCCAAGGCCTCGGCAAAGGGCGCGGCAAAGAGCCCAGCCTGGGCCTGGGCCCCTTCTCGGCCCCTGGCCGGCTGCAGGGCGGAGACCAGCAGAACCCTCGAAAAGCCGTCGGACAGCCTCTCTCCACGCAAATCCGCAACTGTCATTCTTAAGCTTTGAGAGAGATCTCTGAGCTTCGGGCTCGTTGAATGGGGCGGGATAGTGGGAGCAGCTGGAGGCCGTAGAGGACAGCTCAAGCATGTCCAAAGCCTCAGTTCGTTGAGAAGTCAGCAGTTCCTTGTCAACCCGAAGCTTGCATCGAAGCTTGCAGCAAAGACTCACACTGTACGGTCGTAAGTCTTTTTGGTCAACATCTTGGGGAGTCAAGCCAGTCAAGTGACTTTCCTCCAAGAGTCGAGATTCTCCTGGATGTGTGTGGGCAGGTCTCGGAACGTGGGCTGGAGCTCGGCCAAAGCACAGATGCTCCTCCAGGCCTCGAGAAGCGAAGCTGAGCTTAGAAAAAAGCGCGGCGCTCGGCGCGGCGCTCGGCTCACGGCGGGTCTTGGCCAGAGGCCCAGGTCGGGGCTCGAGCTCGGGCTGGAGCTCGTCGCAGAGGAGTGGCGTTCGGCCCTCTCCGCGGCTCCCTTTCCGCCAAGCAGGAAGTCCAGCAGTGCCGGCTCCTTTGCAGGGGATCCTGCTGAGGCTGCTGAGGAGAGAACCGGCCCACGCGCCTGTGGCTCCAGCAGGAGGGCCGTGTGGATGAGCAGCAGAGGCAGCTGATGTCGGAAGAAGCTCCAAGCAAAGCGCCGCAAGACGCGAGAGGCGACAGCCCAGAGGGAACTGCTGGTCAGAACCATCATGGAGGCCGCGGTACTGAGAAGCGTGTCCTGGTCAGAATATATAGACCAAACTCAAAAGTTCGTGCTGTTAGATCGCACTTTAGGGTCGGTCCTGGCCAAAGGCCACCAGGGACTGCTGCTTCAGCAGCGCTTGGCAAGCGGCCTCTCAAAGGGGGGCAACGGCACCGAGCACAGCTCGGTGCAGCTGCAGATTCGGAGCAGATTCGGAGCAGAGCGGCACTGGCGGACTCGCCGATGTCCACCAAGGAGCAAAGGAAAGCTGCGCCTCTTCACAGGCCCCCCCTCAGAGGCGCATGCGCTTCATCCCGGCCCCCGCCTCCCAGGCAGGTCGCGAGGCCGTCCAGGGATTGGAAGAGCCGCGCACAGTGCTCCGCCAGGTCGCCGTAGATGCTCCGTGTCTTCTCCAGCTGGGCCTGCAAAGTCTGCACCGCCTCAGCTCTGCCAAGAGGGGGATAAAATACGACGTGCACTCTCGTGCTGCACCCCTCGCCGGGCCTCACCAAGGGCCTCGCGCAGTTCCTGGACTCTGCCAAAGCTCGTGGCCACAGCTGCCAACGCCACCTCCTCTTCGAACAACTCGCCACCACTGTCCATTTCGGTAAGCCTCTCATGCTGAGCAGAAGGAGTCTATGTCCGTCTATGTACAGGTCTTGCTCTGCTTTCGAGGCGCTGGGAGAGCAGCTGATCCTCCAGCATTAAGAACTCGCGCTGGTTCTGGACGAAACTGAGAAGCTCCGTAGCCTGCGAGCAGAGGACTTGGGCACAGCTGCAAGCATCTGCCAGCAGTCACTGTCCGGCCTCCCCTTGCGGCCCTTGCTGAGATAGACGCAGCAAAAAGAAATCGTCCAATGAACTCTGGTCAGCAGTGAAGTTGATCGTTGCTATCTTGAATTGGACTCTTGAAGGCAGCTCCATCTCTTTGTCTGCGGTGAGCAAATAAAGTCGAAACTCCTTAGCTGAGCTAAAAGCCAGCGCAGGCTGGGCAGCCGATGCAAGGCCCAGCCACGCAATCCTGTGAGAAAGCTCCCTCCTCCGCCTCGAGCTCCTCAGCGAAGGCGAAGCGAAGGCGAAGCGAAGCGGACAACAGCGAAGCGAAGAGCAGCGGGGCTCCTCCTGAGGGGCCGCATGGCCGGGTCCTCCCTGGCCCTGCGCTCCCGGCGCTTCCTGCGTCTCCTCGACGGCCATCGCGGGGTCAGGCCCGGGCCCGGGCCCGGCACCGGCTTTTGCCCTTCGCGGAAGCGGCCCCGGAGAGAGGTCCTGCAGGCAGCGGCCCCCGCGGCCCCCCGGGCCCCCCCCGCTCGGCAAAAAGCCTCGCAGTTCGCCTCGCACTTCGCCTCGCTCTCCTCGCTCAAGTACTGCAAGAGGCTCGGCGCCAGCACGGCTCGGCAGCCCAAAACCAGAAGAGGCTTGCCTCGTCAGTGTCCAAGCATGCACATGTTCTATCCCTCTCTGCATGAAGCATGATCCTTTGATCAGGCTCTCAAGAGTCGTCCCTCAGATCTATGGGCCTATGGGTATGAGTATCAAGAGAACGTCGCCGTGACTCGGAGTGACGTCTCTCGCCTTCTTGACGGCAAGCGGTGAGAGCTTGGGAAAGCTTCGGGCTCGCAGCATGTGTCACCGTGAGCGATGGGATCACCTTCCGCAGCCAGCGGCACGCCTCCCCCAATCGAGAGGCTGACACAACAGCCGGAAGCGGTGCTCGTTATCGAACCCTCTCTCAGCTGTCCTGCTCGTGCGGGTCCAGGCACAGTGGCATCGAGGGCACTTTCAAGGCCAGAGCTGCGCTGACCGCAAGTGCAGCAGGCAAGCCCTGTGCATTCCACTCTTGTTCAGACACTTCGTCAAAGAGAAAGCTGGGCAGAGTCCATGAGGACCCATCTTCCTGTGCACCATGTTCCTTAGCAGCATGACATCTTTACTCTGAGATGCTGCACGAAAGAGTCACTGCAGCAAAGACACTGAAGCTGAATCGACGTTTGAGCCACTGGGATCCACATCCGCATCGTCCAAGCTGCGTACCGACTCCACCTCCCACTGATGATGCACCGGGTCCGAGAAATTGAAGTCGTACCTAAGGTCACGACGATAACGGAGAACGAATTTTGTGGCCGCCTCTGAAGAGAGGCTGCGATGCCTTTTTGGATTCTCTCTGCTCGCCGGGACGCTCGGCCCAGAGACTCTTCAGCGATTCCTCCCAGAGAGGGCGTTGGGCAGGGGCCACGGGGCCCAAGTAGGCCAAGCAGACCGCGGCAAACAGACCTCAGAGAGAGGAGACAAGGGGAGATCTGCCCAATTTCACACACTTTCCGTGGCTCCAAGAATGCCAGGTCGCACTCTCCCGGCAAGGACTCCGAGGAGCGTGTTAGTGCAGCCAGCTGCTTCTCCCAAGATCCCTCTTCAGCAAAGAGGCCTGATGTCCCAGTTTCTGTCGAGTCTTGATGTCATCCAATTGATTGCCATTGCGGCTTCCGGAAACAGATCGAAGGGTTTTTTTTTTCCGAAGGGGCGATAACGAACCTCCTCCGACCTCTCATCGAAGTGGGCATCAGCAGTTGGCTTCTTTTGGCTTCCGATGAACTCAGTTCGAACTACAGTACTCTACTGTCTCTGACACAACATTAGCTCCTGTCCTTTAATGCAGGCTGTAAATTTTTAAAGCACCTTGCTTCTTCGACGGGGGAGGGGGGGGGCGGGGTGCAACAACCTGAAAAGTCGGATGGCGACAGCTTTGCTTGTACACCATGCTGCAACATTCCGAAACCCAATGCTTCCTGTGGATGTTACAAAGAAAAGACCTGCGACTCGCTGCGTGCCTCCGTGCAAGACTTGGCTTACCAGGCCGGCTCGTTTTAGTCCGGCATCCAACTCATTCATGAGGGTTTCCCTTGGCACAGACAAGTAGACAGGACCCCGAGAACGATGGAAGCTGGAGATCCGGGTGCCGTGCATTTGACTCTGAGCCTCCTCAAGCATCTTGGCAGGCTCCATTGCCTGGGAGCGGCAAAATGCCCAGAAGACGTGCCACCGCACCGCCCCGTTCCTTCTCCTCGAGGCTCTTCAACTCTGCCTGCAGAGCAGAGAGGATCAAGGGCAAAGGCGGCAAAGGGGGATATTTCCCGGGCCTGCTTGATTGCCAAGTCTCGACGTGCTGCTTCAGCTTCAGACTCCGTCTGGCTGGCTCGCTCGCGCAAGCCCGCAGTGGACCGGTAAACCTGCTGGCGCCGCGAGCACAGCCGCTTGCTTTTCGGTCTTTGGCAGACTACACGTTCTCTTCCGAGTGCGGTGATCAGCACCATGAGCTTTAAGCTCCTGAAGATGCCGATGTGTAAAACAGTGTAAAAAGTCAGAAAGTCTCAGACCTAGCAGCAATTGCTTGGATACTTGCTCTTGGGAGCCGGGAGATCTGACACGGACAGCCTCTTTGACACACGGGCAACCACTTGCCACCTCGTCGTAGGCAGCAAGAGCCCGCAGCCAGTTGCAGATGAATTTCGCTGCTTTGCTCTGCGACTCCACGAGAGTGGGATTGAAGTCGGCGCGGCTGACCTGCAAAAACCAAGGTCTCCTGCACTCGTGACTCCTTGCAGCTCGTAAGAATCTCGCGGCTGCTCGCCTCGGCCTTCAGCCGCGCCGAGAGGGCGTCCGAGAGGTGGTCCTCGCGACGCCGGTCCAAACATCAAAAAGCCACGCAGAGGCCTTTTTGAACGCGAGGAAGCGTCGAACAATAGCCTCGATGAACATCGACCCACGACCCGGAACTGATGCTCATCACACGATTGTCACGCTGGGGACCGGGTGTCTCTGCGTATTGCTTCCAAGTCAAAAGGAGATGTGTCACGGAGCGGCTTAGCGACCCCGATGGGCTGCTTGTTCTCCCTTCTATACGTCTTACCGTACATCTAAACTGGCTTGATGTAAAAACTGGTGCAACGCTTATCTGGAAATGCCCGCTGATCGCTCTCCTTGCCGGTTGCACGCTGGTAAAGGCTGTCAGCTTCGAAGCCAGCGCTGACAACCTCTATCAGCCCCTGCGGCTTCTACGTCGTCTTCGTAATGAGGCATGATAAGGCGATCAGCTTCGAGGGACGGGCGCGCTCTTTTTCTGTCTAGCATGGTTCAAGAAGAGGCGACGTCGCCGTCTCGCCGCTCGTGAAGCTCGAGGCCGGCGCTGAGACGGATAGATAGATAGAGAGATATATATATATAATATATATATATATATAATATTACATATATATATATGACTTATATGACATGGGGCAAATGGGTGGGTGGGTGGGTGGGTGGGTGGGTGTGTGTGTGTGTGTGTTTTCATGTGCCCCCCGCGAGCGGTCTCCTTGTCGAAGTCTCGGAAGCGCTTGCCGAAGCTTGTCTCAGAAATCAAGGTCTTGGCCGCGGACCATTCCACGGAGCAGCCGAAGAGCATGGCAACCATCTCCATGATCGCCAAGATCAAGGGAGGCGGGTTTGCGAAGCTCTTCAACTCACTCACCTCCTTCCTCAGATTAGGGCTGTGCTATGGCTGCTATGCTGTGCTGGATGGCAGCAGCGGCCGGGATTCAGCTCTACTGCTGCTCAGCTTCTTCTCTGCCTTCTCGAAAGCCTTCACTGCCGTCCTGTCGCATGGTCAATGCAAGACCCCCTCTCGCAGCGGCATCCAGAAGAGTCCTGTATGGTTGGGCAACTTCGTCCATCGCGCCTGTTGCAGAAGGAGCAGTGCCCTACGGCCCTGGCAGAGCCCATCCCGGCCCTGGCAGCTGGACCACGCCTTGCACTTCTGCTTGCAGGGTCTTGCAGGCGCTCTCCTGAGCCTCGGCGAAGACCTCCGCCTCTCTCAGTTGCTCCTCACTGTGCAAACTGCAAGCAAAACAAACTATAAGGAGGCCTTTCTCAAGAACATCTTTGCATGACTCATTGCCGAAAGGGCCTACAAAAAACGATCCTAAACGCTAGGCCTAATAAGGGCCATTTCAGGCAGTCTTTCTCCTGGGCACTCTGCACGTCTGCAGCGATGGAGGCAGCGACTTCCCGGAGTTGCGTCAGCTTGGCCTCCTGCTCTTCGACCTCCGCCTGCAGCGCCGACACCTTCCTGCCGAAGCGGAGAGCAGAGGTGGGAAGACAAAGCCCGCTTTTGCCATCCCGGCCTCTGCAGCTCCGCATGGACGCTCGGGGCTTTGGCCAACACCTGGAGCGCCCTCTCCAGCCGCCCACGCCTCGCCATGCAAGGACCCTCTGAGATTCTCACGGTGAGCACATGAGAGCCCCCGGCTTCTTGGCGACCTGCGCACTCTTCAGACGCCAGAGTTGCGTGAAGTTCTGCAGCACCTGCGAGAAGCTCCTGCAAAGATTCGACATTCCCGCGGGCTGCTCTCGATTGAACAGAGACCCATACATGCGAACCTTGCCCACCGGCGCATACAGAGCAGAGTAGACTGCAGCGGCAGCATGGGACACGTCTCTGAAATTGTGCAGACGTGAATTTCGCTTCGAGATCAGTGCTTCCTCATTTGGAGGAAAGTCGTTCTGGCCCGGAAAATCCCCTCAGTCCCGGCGGTCCTCACCGTCGCGGTCGCGGGGTTCAGCTCCTGGGATCGAGCCAGGCACCTGGCCAGCCGCGATGCCACGTCGATGTCCAAAGTCTCGCTGAGGCCTCAGACAACCGCGAGTGAAGAAACAGAAGCGTGCTGGCTGGGCGTCGCTGGGCGTGCTGCGTTGCTCCGCCATCGCTTGCCAGGAGTCCACCCTCCAAGCTTCCACGTGGCTCACCTCGAGAAGTGACGGCTTCCAACTTTTCCCCTTCTCCATGAAAGCGTCGGTGGGCACCCCGGCCGCGCAGCAGCAGAGCAGCTTCGGGAACTTGCGCAAGATGCGGAAGTCCATCGGAGACAGGCAAAGCACCAAATGCAAGTGCTGATGCACACCTCACGCGTCACGTGCGGGGCTGCAAACTCGCCAGACAAGACATTCCGAGGCCCTTGCGATCCAGGAAGCGTGGCCAAGCCTCGCGTTGCCAACAAACGATTGACGGCCGGAATCTGCCCGAAAGTCTACCTGTGTTCACGGTCACTTCAAACCTTGCAGGATTCTGCTGTCACGTGGCAATGTGCGCGGCAAGGTCCTGATTCGAGCTCGCAATTTGACACCGCAACTCGGCGCGATTAGTTTCCGGAAAGGGAGTCCTTGAAGTCCAGTGCCTGGAGCACAAGCTCAAGATCTGTTTGACTAAGGGCAAGGCTTGTGCACAAGGCGGGCCAGGCCTCGCGAAGCCTGGCACGAACAAGCCGAAATGCGATATCGAGGATAGCAACTGTGTGGAAACATGTAGACAAATGTACCCATATATTGTCACCTTGTCAAACACAGATCAACATGGCAGCAGATGATCTGAATGGCACGCAATAGGTGACACGTGACCCTTGACTTCGTTCCTTATTCTTCGTCAGCAAGGCAACTGAGCCCTTTGTCCCATCAAGATTTTCCTTTGAATCTCAGTTGAGATCCGAGTGAGATCTATTGACACAATTCCGGCAGATCCGGTTTACGAACGTGCGTGTGTGCGCGCACGCTGCAAAGGCTTCGCTGAGTTTTCTCTTGAGGAATGCCTGGGCTCGGCAGAGCGGTTGGCAGTCCCTATATATAACTTGCACAGCCAAGCGGACGTATGCGAAATGTACCGCGAATATGTCAGAAGATTGCACCATGCACAGTTCATGAGAATCAATGTCACAAACTGATTTGCAGGCACAGGTTTTTGCATCCACGAACCCATCACGAAAAGCAAGACTTGCTGCCTGGATTGTGCTTGATTGTAGTACAAGTTGAGTACTGGCTGTGCCTCGTTTCGGATGCTGCCTGGATTGTGCTTGATTGTAGTACAAGTTGAGTACTGGCTGTGCCTCGTTTCGGATGCTGCCTGCATGATGGATGATTGCAGTACAAGTTGAGTACTGGTACGAACACTCGTAGAAAAGCCGCAGCAGCAGCAGCAGCAGCAGTTGCAGTCGCAGTAGCCGTAGCAGCAGCAGCAGCAGCAGCAGCAGCAGCAGCAGCAGCAGCAGCAGGGGGAGTAGCAGTAGCAGTAGCAGCAGCAGCAGCAGTAGCAGCAGCAGCAGCAGCAGCAGCAGCAGTAGCAGTAAGCAGTAGCAGTAAGCAGTAGCAGTCAGCAGTAGCAGTAGCAGTAGCAGTGCAGTGGTAATCGTAGTGGTAATTGGTAGTCGTCGTCGTCGTCATCGTGGTCAGCATCATCGTCTTTATAAGATCTCAAGATACCCTTGCGCACACCCCTTCCGCGCATCGGTTTTTAAAGCAACCGGTGCGCAAGCCTTACGCGCATGCGACTGTTGCTTACGCGCGGTTGCGCGCCCATTCGTTAATGCCGGCCCTAGTCTGGCTAGCTCTTCGATGGTTTAGCTCTCCGCTCAAGTGTGGTCTTCCTTGGTGCCAGCACTCTCTCTTGGCAGCCCCTTGCATCTTTCCGAGGCTGCGCTGCGCGATTTGTCTCGTTGTAGGTTGGATTCCCCACACACAGACACCTCCATTGGAGGTTATTGACACGAACTGCGTCACGGGCTCAATTAAAAGTTTTTCCGACCCCAACCAACAAACACGGGATGGTGGAGTAGGAACGAAGGGAAGGGTCAAATGACAAGCTCAAACCAGCCCCGACCCCCAACCAAAAGCACCCCTCAGCGGTGCCTCTTTTTGTGTTTGAGAAGCATTCAGAGGTTGAGACTCTGTCTCTCATCCGCAATGGTATTAAATTAGCCAAAGCAACCCCAAGTGGAATGTCTCAAAATGCGCCGGGCAGGCATGTTGGTGATCTCGTCAGGGCTGCACAACTCGGGAATGTGACCAAGGTCCAGGACAGCGCTGATTGAATCCAGAACACCGTCGTCCCGAAGGTCCTGCTTTCCAACACACGTTGAGTGAGCACTAGGAGAAAGTGCTCCAAGCACAAAGTTCACGTCACGCGAGAGAGGTAAACTAGATTGTTGGCCTAGTTCTGCCTGAAAGTTGCGAAGTTTCATTTGTACCGAATTTTCAACAATTCGTCACCGTTCAAGCTGCGTGTCTTCGTTCTGCTTTCCAAGGCTCCGCCCAAATGCCGCGCCCCGGCGTAGGATCTACACTCTACACCTCCATTTTAACTCCAGTTTGGCTTTTCACGGACGAAAACCGTCTACCTGACTCCAAGCTTCTTGGCTCCGCTTAGCAACGGCTCCACTCCTCGTCCGCCAAGACCAGGATGCAGTCGCTCTGTTTGGCTCCACAGGTCCGCCACACCACCCGCAGCATCTGCAAGAACTCTTTCTCCGTCACTGCCTCCTGCGATGTGCTGCGGTGCTGCTTTCGAAGAGGCATGAAGAATCCCCTGCCTCCCCTTTTTCTGGCCTTGGTTTCGAAGTAGACGGCATCCAGGAGGTGCGCTGCGAGGCCACAGAGGCTCCGCCGGCCGCTGCCAAGCAAGCCGAGCAGCAACATGTGGCCCCGCACAAGGGCCCCGGTGCGGAGGAGGCCTCAGAGGGTCGCGGAAGTCGCAGAGCTAGCCGCAGAGCTGAGGGTCGCATTTTGTGGCTGCCAAGCCAAGCGTCGGCAGAGCTGGTCCACCACCTCCTCGGAGAGGAAGAAGGAAGTCGAAGCCGCCTCTCCGGCCTTCAGCTGCCTCGCAGGGCCGCAGGGCGGGCAGAGGGCCGAGGGGGCAGAGGCCGGGGACAGTGGCGGCGGCCTGTACTCCTCCAGAGACTCCTGGAAGCAGCGCCGAAGCTGCTCCTCCTCCACGCGCTCGTAGGGCTTCGCAATGGAAGCCGACAGGCGCTTCAGGAAGCCTCGGCCGAGCAAGCAGGAAAGAGCCCTCTTTGCTTTCTTCTATCTCTCTGCCTCTGAAGAACGCCTTGGTGCTCCGCTTTCCGGCATTTTCCGGGAGCTTCGGAGTCTTCGAAGCTCTTGATGCAAAAGGTCCTTTTGAAGCTGTAGCTTCAGCTTGTCCTCGAAGACACGAGCGACCTCGTGCAGAAAGGTCTCCAAAAGAAGCGCCTCGGCTTTCGCCTCCTGGTCGGCTCCCGCCGCGGCCCCGGCCCCGCCCGGGTCGGCGCCCCCGTCCAAAGCCTTCAGGATCCCCTGAAAGGTCTTTGCCACGTCCCGGACTGTCCACGTCAAGTAAGGCGACAAAGGAGATCGCTTAAAGGAGCTCTTGGCAAAGTCGTAAACCTCCAAGACTGCGCCAGTATAGATCCGGCTCAAGGATCGCGCGGTTGAGAATCCCATCATCTGCAGGCGCTGAAGCATGATGCTATGGTAAACCTCCATGACCTTCTCTCGGCTCCATTCCATCGAAGAGACCAGGAAGTGCCGTGCAAATCGCTCGAAGCGAAGGCTTTGCCAATGCGCCTCACTGAGGCACAAAAAAAAAAAACGGAGCTAGAAGAGGTTATAAAAGCCGCTGGGCACTGGCGCTCAAAACCTGGGCCGCTGCTCGGGCGCTGGCTGTGCCAGCGGTGCCTGCGCCCGACCCCGCCACAGCCAGCAGAGTGGAGCCTCGCTTAGCACCTGCGTGGTATTGGCACGCGAGACTAGAGACAGCAGGGCCAGGTTGACTTGAGATTCTTCAGATTTCTTCAGTCTCGGGGCTGCGATGCATTGTCGTGCCACCAGAACTATGACATCCATGACCAGAGATCAAACACACCTGTATAACGGGAGGGAGGGGAGAGACGGAGAGGGAGCGGGAGAGGTGCGCGAACGAGCGATAGACAGTAGACACTGGGGGACATCATGGTCCGCAGTGCACCCCAAAAAAATCAAGCTCCCAGCAAAGGCGGCTTTGTCGCTTGCCGTCATGCAGATGGTAGAAAGCATACTCACAGAAAGACGCACCAGCACCACCACCACACCGAACATGAGAAAGGACAAGTCCAACCAAGTCTTCGCGCATCTTGTCGGGAAGCAAAAACGCAGTCTGGCCGTAAACGCTGAGTGTGGAGAAGCGAAAAAAAGTACAAGCACCGCGCATGAGGGCCCTGCCTCGATCGAGGAGTTCTCTGAGCACCTCCACCGGTCGGGGCGCCGCGACGCCCTCCCTTTGAGCGGCGACGTCGTCCGCAACTAGCAAGGCACCTCTCTGGCGAGAATGCGACCCAAGCACTCTGCAATAATGTTCGCCGTCTGAGACGAGTGTGCAGCTACAGGACTCGCTGATGCAATGGCTACCGGATTGAAAGATCAAAAGGTATCAAAAAAATTTAGCGTAGCGGGTTAATCAACAATGATGTGAGAAAACCAGGCCTAGTACGGCTGTTTTTCGTTGTTGAGAATCCGACGCCGAGAAAATCTTGTCAGTTGAGAATCCGACGCCGAGAAAGTCTTGTCAATTACAGCATTTCCGCTTGTTCACACGATAAAACATTTCCAGCTAGTCACGTGCTTACATGAGGTAAAATTGCGCAATGCCAACATGTCATCACTAGGATCAAGCCGCTTCGAGGTCCAGTACTATGCCAAGATGTTCACAAATCTGAGTACTGAGTAGGAATAGTGGTAGTGCTGGTCATGGTGACGGAGAAAATCCACAGGCACCAGGCCAGTCCTTAGGAAGGCCGGTACACCTCGACGAGGCCGCCTTCAGCATCCAGATCGGCAGTGCTGGAGGCCAGGCGGGCCTGCGGTGCGGGAGCACGCCCTCCCCCAAAGGGAAGGGAGAGACCAGCACCGCACGGTAGTGCAGGTGCTGGGCCGGCGCGTCGAGTGCATGCTCGACGGGTGCGCGGGGGCAACCATGTCACCGAGGAGCTCTTGGTCGGCATGCTTAACCACGCGGCCGAGCTCGGAATCGGGACTGCGCGTGACCCTTCTGGAGGGTAAAACCGCGGAAGGCGCCGCCTCCAATCCCAGCTACCACATTGTGGAAAGCTGGAACATCGAGAAGATGATGGAGGAGCCTCCGACGGATTACTACTACGACCGCTTGGCTGAAGATATGCGGCGTAGGCACCCGCAGGCCGACACCCTCCTCGATCACCTGGTCAGCCTCGAGGCTTTCCTGGCTAAGTCGATCCTGTTCGGCTTTTCCTTTGGTATCAACAAGGCGGAGGTGGCGGTGGCCGAAGGTAAGCTCAGTAAGCTCCTTGGCCACAAGATCGGGCGGAGCGGTAGCTCGCCTGATGAGGAGCGCTGTCAGGCAGTAGTTGATTTCCCGCCGCTGCGGGAGAAACTGCCAACTGCACATACAGCAGTTCCTAGGCTGCGCAAACTGGCTGCGGGGCTACCTGCCCGCAGAGTACGGCCACGCAGCCAAGGTGCTAGGCCAATGGCAAAAGCCCGGGGCTCTCGTTCGAGGCGGCAGCGGCCGATGACTCAAAGTAAGTCATTAACACCGGCACAGCAAAATTGGCCTCCCCTGATCCAGGAAGACGAGCGACATCGGGCTTGACCCGAACCTCGTCGGATCAGTCGCGGAGATTTTGCTGGACGGGTCCGAGATCCGCAGCCTTAGCGGTCGGTCAGCGACGCTAGGCGACAGCTTCAGCACGAACCTAAGGCTAGGGATCTGCTGCTGGCGGCTCCACCTCGACCAGTACCTTGAAGAGGGCACGGAGAGTACCAACCCGGCATTTTGGGTCGGAGGCGACGTGCCCAGGATCGGCGCATCGATCTGTAGCAGCTCCTCCTGTAGCTTGCGGCACCAGATATCGAGAAGCCGCTCCTCTCTAGCGGCCACGATGCACCCATCCTCGACTAGCTTCCGGTTGCGCTCCCCCCTAGGGGGGGGTGCCTCCGGCGCGTAGCGGGGACCA